GGGGAGGCGGCAAAAAAAAGCTGCCTCCCTGTCCCACAGCAACGAGAGAGTGCCCGGTCACTCTTTCCACAGCCTGGCTCGCACAGCCTCCTTCAGGCGACTCGGCCCGTCGGCTCTTCTATTTTTACCGCTGCCCTCTCTACCACCCTGCTTCTTCCCGACGCCCGCGTCCCGTCCCTCAGAGAAAGGGCGCGCAATCACNNNCTTGTTGCAGTTCTTTGGCTGGCTCGGTGAGGGTGTTGCGTTTTGGGCTGGATCCCCTCCCCCCGGTCCCCTCCTCCGCCTTCTGGGCACCGCACGCGGTGGGGGGGGAAGGGGGAGGAGCGCGCGAGCGAGCCGGATGGCCCGGAAAGCCGTCGAAGAAAAGAGCGGCGTCCCCTCAGCTTGTCGTCGTCGCTGCCCCGCGCTCTCTTGCTCTGCCTTGGGCAGTCCCTTTTAGGGCGAGCCGAGGTGGTCACGTACGAAACGAAGCAGCCAGAGCTCCGGAGGCAGACGAGTCGCTTTTCTCCCGCCCCCTCGCCCCGCGCCCTTGTCCCCGGGCTGCTAACTTCCTAGTCTGGGCTTCTTGCGATGGGTTGACCCGAGGTGGGTCTCATGTCGTGGGGTGGAGAGCCTTCCTGCGCCTCCTCTGCCTCTCTCCTCTTCTTCCTCATCCACCCACTCGGCTGACAGCCCGCTCCCTCTCAGGGAGACCACGCCGAGCACTTCCTTTCAAGGAAGCGCCGCCGCCGCCGCCGCAGTCATCATCCTGTGCTGCTCGGGTAAGCAAGTGCGCGCCTTCATCTCTGTAACCACCGGGGAGCGTGGAGAGAGGGCAGGTTGTTTCGCTCTTGCGCTGAGCGCCGCGCCTGTGGGTGTGATCGGGCGGCGGGCTCGCAGGCGGCTGGGGACAGGCAGGCAGCGGGGAAAGAATACGTGCAAGGAAGCACTGAAGTTCTGGGGATTTTCGCCCTGGGATCCGGCGAGCATCGGTCACTCTCGGTGCGCATGCGATGCTCTGCAGAGTGTCGCCGGTTTCTCTGTGGAGGAGCCTCGCATCGCAGCCTTAACAGGGCATGGAGACAACAGGGGCTGGAACGGAGGTGGATGATGGAAAGAGAGAAGCCAAAGCAAAACACACACACACACACACACAGGATGAGTATAGAAAGGCTCAGGTATACATACACAAAAGGGTGGCCTGGAATGGTAGAAGGGTGACCATATGTCCTCCTTTAGGGAGGGCAGACCTCCATTTGAAGAGCTGCCTTCTTTTTTTAGGGACACATGTCCTCCTTTCTGTAAGGACTATCTATTAGATTCTGGCACAGAACTGAAATGTGGTATTTTCAGCTTGTGTAAGTGGCTACCCTATCCCTCAGTGAGTTTTCCTGGCCTAGTTTAGAAAGTGGTGGCTTTGATTGGTAAATGTATCTAATCAACCCTCTCTCATTTCTTTAGTAAAATGATTCAGGTGGGGGTAGGGGAATAATTCTGTGAGAAAAGATGCAAACCAAACACATTAATATGATAAATGACAGAAAGCCAATGGCATGGTATGCCAATGCTGTGTGAACCTCAGATGTGGACTCAGCACCCTGCCCCCCCCCTATTGGACATTAATGATTCAGATACTTCAACCAAAGTGCAGTGACCTCTGTTTATTTTCTCGCTCTATAGGCTTATTTTCGATAAGCTGCAGAAAATATAAGGCATTTCAGAGAGTTATTAAACACTATGCCTTATTTATTTGTTTGATTTATATCCCATCTTTATATCCCAACCAAGGTTACCTAGTCATAATCTTGTGCAGTATAGTGAGCAGTAGTGCATTAAATTACCGAAATTAAAGCAATAATGACTCACTGTGATGATATTTGCTGAAACTATATTAGGTTAGTATATTCAAAGGATATCAATATGACTGCCATGTCATATTGATATCCTTTGCATAATGCAACTAAAATTAGAAAGTTGTGAGAACTAGGTCAGTTATATTTAAAATGAAACAATGTTTTATATATTTAGAACATAATTGAGAAGGCTGTTTTAAACAAGTGTTTAATTATAGTTGTATTTTAAAAGCCTGTAAAGTTCTCATTATGGCTGCTGTTACTCAAAAGTAAGTGGGCTCCACTTTGCTGTCACCTCAATATCTCAGTTGGCCAAGCACAGCATATGAAGTATATGGAATTTTTTTCTTTTACATTTTGTGAGTTTATACCCTTTTAACTAGTTAATTTAAAAGTTACCATTATCTTAAACAGAAAGAAGTTACACTAATAATATATATATATTCCTTTACTATTGCAAAAGGGGGTGGGGTTAAGTGCAAGTAACCAGTTACTTTGAAGATTTGATTAAACATCAGTGCACGTCTGAATTGGCTAATCTTCTGACACTTTTTCTTAAGCCCTATTTCCCTGTTGGTGTGAGCAGCTGGCTGTTGATATCTGGTTGGATTCTATACAAATCCCATAGATAATTGGTTCAATTTTTTTTTTTTGATACAATTTCTGATAAATGTGGTCCCCGTCACTTTCTTTCACAAACCCACTGCTCTGCTTTTGAACAAAAACAAAACCCTGGTACCCAAAGCTGCTTACAGATCCATCATTAATGTAATATGCTATGCAAAAATAGCACATGTTTTGTTTATTTTTATCATATAGGCATGTCAACTTTTGGATTAAACTCAAATGGCATTGTAGGCTTTCCACTTCAATCCTCCAATTTCTACAAGACAGATACATAGATTAAAGTGGTACTTCAGCTATTTATTGAGATTAAAATCCTGCTTCAAACTTTGCTTCAAACTTATAGGTTGTAACTTGTGCCAGCAATAAATTATAGAACTAGGGTTGCCCAGTTAGTTCATAACTCCACACGTTCCACCTACATCTTGTTTATATGTGATGTTCTGTTCTGTTCTGGGATCAAGCGAGAAGGATAAAATTTCAGCCTCAGGCCATACTGCAGGTTTGAAATCCCAGTGAAAGTTTGCTTGTATAAGTGATGATGGAAGCAGTGATGATGGAAGCAGAAGAAACCTAGAGTAGTGTTGTGATGTGTAGGCCAATTTAAACTGGATTATGATTATTATTTGTTTATCCTTTGCCCCTTCCGTCCCTCTTTTAAGAGGCTGCTGAAGATGCTTCTCTTTCAGGAGACTTTTGAAGTCAGCCTGTTTTGAATGTTCCTGCCCCTGATCCACTGCTCTAATTTTAAGCACCATTAATAAAAATACTGTGCACTAATGGGGCGGTAAATAAGCCCTAAACGGTTTAGGGCCTCGATACCTGGCGGAACGCCTATTCCCACCAAGTTCTACCCGGATCACACGGGCGAGCCAGGGAAAAATACTGTGCACTAATGGGGCGGTATAAAAGTACTGTAAAACAAACAAGCAAACAAATAATCCTTAAACAACAAATGCTGTAACTATTTTTAGCAACACATTCTTGCTACATGTTATGCAAGATGTGCTGGTTGGTCATGTTTACATGGACAACAGCATATTCCTTTGTAGTTGCACTGTACCTAAGGTGTGTGTTTGAAACACTATGGGTAAAAATAATGTCTTGAAATTTTTGTTTCCTTATTTTTCTCCTTAAAGACATACCATCAAAGCAATACATTTCAATATGTGCTTAAAATAAACCATGAAAAGTAATTTAATGCATAGCACAGTATTTTTATGCCTTTCAAGCATGATGTTTTAAAGAAGTTTTGAATGTTTTTGGCAAGACTATTACAAGAAAGAAAAAAGGGGAAGTCATTATAACAGACCAGATGGGCATGATACAAATGAAATAAATAAGTAATTTAAAGCACAGTATTTTTATGCCTTTCAAGCATGATGTTTTAAAGAAGTTTTGAATGTTTTTGGCAAGACTATTACAAGAAAGAAAAAAGGGGAAGTCATTATAACAGACCAGACCAGATG